CCTGAAACATCCCGCACAGGCCCTAGACTCCTACTACTACCCCTAGGACCTACCGGACTGCTAAAATGCCAACTTTGTCTTTTCTGCCCGGACTTTCAAGTACCCCAAGATTCGGCCTTTCGGCCTTCAAGTACCCCGACATTGGACTTACCGGCCTACTTGAGTGTTTTCCCGCTACCCACCAAGGGTCGCGGGGCTGCTAGCTTCGCCACTTGMGTGTTCCCTGGCTGCACCCCTCACAAGCCACGCCACAGGTAAGTACCGGCCCTACCGGGCCTGCCCAACATCCATGGCCCCGACGGGGTCACACACACACTCAAGCACTCAGTCAGGCACGCATTCATCACCCAGGCACGCCAACCACATACAGGCACGCACTCAGACCCAACACAACCCACTCAACAGGCAGGGGACTTAGTACGGCATGCATTCCACGAGCAAACTCAGAAATCAGCTGTCTGTTACAGTCCGTGTGATGACGGGTCATTACACCTTCCACCTTTTTGTGTTTAAAAAAAAGGGAAACAGTTCCTTCCACCTTTCCGAAAAGATCGGCGGTAGGGGCAGGGTCGGCACGCCAAAAAAAAAAGAAAAAAAACTGCAACTTGAGGAACGACGTCGGGAAAGAAAAAAAACTGCTCACACCGCTGCTATGGCTGCAACTTGAGGAACGACGTCGGGAACATTCAGGAACGAATCTAACCGCAGCTATGGCAGGGAGCTCTGCAACGAATCTAACGTATCAGGTTTGTTGTTTTTGTTGTTTTCTTTCTTCTTTTGTTTTCTTTTCCGCTCCCTGCCAGCGAGGCAGGGAGCTCTGCAAGGACTTCTGACACCTTGTCAAAGAGGGCTTATACTCAGATTCTGTATCTAACTGGTTTCGCGTCCATATTGTTGTTGCCTTATTTTATTTTATTTTTGCTTTTCATTTCTGAAAGTAACGTCCGTCATGAGCACAGAGCGTCTGTTTTTTTTTTTGCTTTTCATTTCTGAAAGTAAACGCCGTCACTGAGGGCATACTCTCACACTGACCCCTGATTCTGTATCCAACTGCTTTCTCGTCCATAGCTTTTTTTTTTTTTTTTTTTTTTTTTTTTTTGGTTCTTTGTTCTTTTCTACGTTGTTAATTTGGGAGGAGTACGAGAAAAGAAAAGACAACGGGACCCAGGCTCGGCGCAACTCGGTGCGCAGTGAAATTCAGGTTCGTTTAAATCAGGTGCGGGTGTACTTGTGGTTTAATTATAGCACTACGCGACCTATATTGGGGGTCATGTACTGTTAGTGCAATCAAGGTCTGAGGTAAGCAGCAAGCATAGCGCTCAAGCGTCGAGCTTCAACGGTGCGCTCAAGTGTTTGAA